AAAGTCATTTGAGTCAAAGAATATCAAGAGTTTTGAGTAGACCTGATAATACTGAGGATTCAAAAAAACGTCCGATATTTGGAATACCTAAAAATAGTGGATAAGAATGCCGTATATATATATATATATATATATATAAAGCAATTGTAAGTGAAGCAAGACCCCTCTCAAATACCCAAGTCATAAAACAGGATATGGTAGATACTTTAGGATAAAGAGGGTTGAAATTCCTTTTATAATACCACTGACAATAAGTATTTCATTTCCATTGATGAATGGCAGTGGAGAGATTTAGTTAAATACAGAGAAACTATAGAAGTTAAACCCTGATGTTGGGTAAAGGACTGCATAACTTTCCAGCATGAAATTGAGTTTTCGAACACCTGGGTGGAAGATGTCTGATTGAGGTTGTCTCAGAGACTGCCAATGTGGAAGAGGTAGAGGAAGACATACCTACAGATACCAAACATTTGAACTGGTTAATATAATGAAACCAAGATAACTCAGTAGGGAGTGGAGCAAACCATAATCAGAAACCAGGACCATAGCCAAATCGGGAGAAAAGGCATAAAGATGTATACCTGTCCAGTCCTGACTGAACATATCTATTGTCATTGCTTGAGGATGAGGTATTGGAGACCAAAACTGAGAGCAAATCCACTGGAAAACATTAAGATGTATCATCCATTCTGTTGGAAGAATCTGGTTAGATCAAGACAAATAATCTGCAATTAAATTCATCACTCCTGAAACATAACATGTTAAAAGACTGATACAATAGAAATTAGCCCAGTAGAGAAGATCCAAGGTACAAAAACAAGGTCTCGAGAATATGTGCCTCTTTGAATAAAAATCTGAGATACCACAGTGGAATTGTCAGAATGTAACATGACAATTTATTTTCCTTCAAGAGAGACAGACCTTGTCCCATTGCCTGGTGTATTGAAAGGAGTTTGAAAACGTTGATATGGAGGGTAGACTCGACTTCTGTCCAAATACCCTGGAACTCCTGACCTTGAAGATAAGTTCCCCATCCCTGAAGAAATGCATCTTGGAATAGATTGATCTCAGAATGATGTGGTGGAATGGGTACCAATCACAATCGACGATGTTGCTCCTGAGTAATGAGACAGGATGATCCAAAGGATCCGAAAGCATGATTCGTTGATTGTGCAGTGATCAATGAATGGACCTCATATGAGCTCGTCCCAAAGGAATGAAGCTCCAGGGATGCCCCCCATCCCCAATAGAGAGAGAACCATCCATGTAATAGGAGAAGGAGACACAAGTAAAAGCCTGACGGCTCTTTCCATGGCTTGAAGCTTGATAGTGGTTGGTTGAGCAGGACTTAAGAGTATTAAAAAACACCCCCAGATGGACAAGATATTGTGTTGGTGACAGAATAGATTTCTCCAGTTTAATAAGGAAGCCCACTTTTGTGGTTTCTGAAAGGAGGATCTGAAAGTGTTGTTCTGCTACTTGACAGGATGGTGCCAGACGAATCCATTCATCCATATAATGATGTGTGTGCAGGTCCAAGGAATGTAGATGACGAGAAAAGGCTCAAACAGCTCTGCAGAAGACATAAGGTGCTGATGCAAGACCAAAAGATAGAGCCCTAAACTGCAGAACCTGACCCTTGTGCATAAATCTGAGAAACCTCCAGGAACATTCTGCTATGGGAATGTGGAGATAAGCATCAGTAACATCAAACTTGGTCATCCATAGCCCTGGAGCAAAGTGCCATCATATGTTGAGGAAGGATTCCATAGTAAATTGAGGAGGATCTGAAATTAGTTGAGTTGAGACAGATTAATGATTTGATGCCAATTTCCTGTCTTCTTGAGTACCACAATTAAATGGAAATAAAATCCTGGAAGAACTGGATCAACCCTCTACTACCACCCTTTTGACTAACAGCTCTCTTATCGCCTGGGAATAAAGCTCCACTCGTTGTGAATATGTTGGAGGTGAAAAGACAACAGGTTGTGCAGATAAAGGTGGAGGTGATGTAAATTGAGTGACCAACCCTAAATTCAGAGCATGGATCCCTGATGAAAGAACTCCATACGTCCATAAAATGATGTAAACATGGTCCCACTGCTGTCCTGCCCACGGGATAGATACCGACGCTGTTGGCAACAGTTTATCCCAGATGAAAATCCTCGAGAATGCAGATAGACTAGTATGGGAACCAAAGGGAGGGGGCAGGAAAACTAAGAGCCAACACTTTCGAATTAGCTCCAGAAAGGCGAAAAGTCAACAACAATAAAGAAGAATGTAATCAAACTGAATCAAATCTTGATTCTAAAGTCTCCAGAACTCCCGCAAACAACATGGGACAAAGAAAAAAAGGAGCTTCCCGTAACTCCCTGAGGGCAGAAGATTGTAAAAAAACAATCTTTACCCAATAAATCCCAACAGCAAACAAGCCAGAAAACCAGAGAAAGAACTGAAGAAGATGATCAGTCTAAGCAAGACATCAGCACAAACCTCCAACTCGACCTTAAATTGCCAAGGATAACATTAATAGGCTTCCAACAAAAGTTGGATCAAAGAAAATACTGAGAAAACTGATCTGTTTAAAGTTGTTACAGGTTCCAAACAATACCTTCATAGGTCCAAAATGGAGGGTCCATTCCTCGAGAATCAAAATATACTTCCTTCTGGTGGTGATAAGCCAAAGCATGCTGTTCCGATAAATGAGGGAGACAAGGCATACATACCCTGTCGCATAACTGTGCAGCAAATCTCCCAGCGTGAAGAGCAATATCAGGAGGAGGGGGAAAAACCAAGTAGTTATTTGCCTTCCTTGCTGTCAACAAGGAAGGGGTAGAGTCAAATACAATAGGAGAGACACCCAAAACATTATAAACCCGAGTAACCAACTGAAGAAAAGGGGCTGGAGATGGTTGATCAAAATGATCATCTGTTGAGGCCAACCTAGTAAAAGAAGGAGCTGGAAAAAAACGAGTCTAAATTATTCCCAGCTGGTCAGAATCATGTGTAAAAGCCACCTCAAAACTCCGCAGAGAGACACTCCTGTTCCGCTTATATGTGCCCATCATGCAACAGATCATATCATAGGCAGCATTGACTGAGAGTGATCCCTTCCCTGGTCATTGACAAATACCAGATAACACATGTTGAAGAGGAGAGGTCCGATTGGCCTCCATAATAAAAACATTAACTTGAGAATTCACACCCATCAGTAGGTTTTTTTTCTTTTTTATTATCATTAAAGTAATTTATAAATTTACAAAGATATAACCATAGTAATGCAAACCACGTTCAAAGTCGCAATGTAAATTGTGAATAAACACAACATTCCTGTTTACAGAAACCCATGCCAAATGCTTTGTTGAGAAAAAGTGATTACATTATCTGAATGAGACACTTATACACAGTAACTAGATAGAGGGTGCATAGCTGTTGGTGGAAAAATTTGCAAATTAGAATTTGCCAAGGGCATTTGAGTTGAAATCGAGAAATAGCTATAGTGTCAGTGAAGGTAAGTATGTTTTGAAATTATCATTTCACTTCAAGTTATATTTTCTTATTTCTTTAGCAAGCATAATTTCTAAACAAACAAATTAACATTCAATCAGTTATTAAAATGGTACTCCTATATTATAAATAGTTTACTTCATCACAAATAGAGTATAAAAAATTACTGTTCTCAATTATGTTCCTGTTTATTTCATGCTACTCTGACTCTCACAATAAGTAATTTTTTTTACATTTGAGATTACCACGTAAGTTGGTGAGGGGTACCTTGATTTAAATATATCATAACATTATAATTATTACTGACACTTTCAACTAAATAAACAAAAGTGTGCATTGATCAAGTTGTTTAATTTAGGTGTGCTATAAGATGAAAGGTCAGTTTAATTCACGACAAAAATTACTGCTTCTTTAAAGAATTCCCAACATAATCATTAAAACGTCAAAAAATATAACACTAACCTACAAACTGAGAGCATCACAAAATTTTTCATTTTGCTATCCCCTACTCAGCAGACATGAATGTTTAGTTGTCAACTGCTGATCCTACTCAGCAGACATGAATGTTTAGTTGTCAGCGGCTGACCCTACTCATCAGACATGAACGTTTACTTGTCAGCGGCTGACCCTACTCAGCAGACATGAACGTTTAGTTGTCAGCGGCTGACCCTACTCAGCAGACATGAACGTTTAGTTGTCAGCGGCTGACCCTACTCAGCAGACATGAACGTTTAGTTGTCAATTGTTGATCCTACTCAGCAGACGTGAATGCTTAGTTGTCAATTGTTGATCCTACTCAGCAGACGTGAATGCTTAGTTGTCAATTGTTGATCCTACTCAGCAGACGTGAATGCTTAGTTGTCAGCGGCTGACCCTACTCAGCAGACGTGAATGCTTAGTTGTCAGCGGCTGACCCTACTCAGCAGACGTGAATGCTTAGTTGTCAGCGGCTGACCCTACTCAGCAGACGTGAATGCTTAGTTGTCAGCGGCTGACCCTACTCAGCAGACGTGAATGCTTAGTTGTCAGCTGATGATCCTACTTGTTCTATCATGAAAGGAAATATCCACAAAGACAGATAGTACGTTGAACACACTCCTAATAAATACGTTTCTAAATTTCACCTTCTGCACATATAAAACTCTATAATCTACTAACGAACAACTAAAAGACAAAAACAGGGAAACCTTAAATCTGCACACTATTTGGAAGAAGCCTAGTGTGGGTCAAATATTTTAGCTTAGATGTCTCTCATTTCATTTTTTTATGACAAATAGCTTTAGTCCTTTAAAAAATTAAAAAAGATTAATAGCAGTGATGTCGGTAAAATTTATGTCCACAAAAAATGTAATTAATTTCACGAAAAAAGAGATTGTAAATCCTCTAAATTTTTATCCTTACATTTAAAATTATCTCCAAAGTAACCCTAACATTAATAACAAAAGTGAAAATCTGTAGAACATTGTGAAAATTATCATCCTGTCATCATATGCAGGGTCTATCACTAAATGTATCCAAACAATAACATACAACTAATAATAACCTATGGCTAAAAATTTACTCTAGCTTTAATACAAGAAATATCCATTAAAAATGTTTTTATGAAGAAAATAAGAACAACTTCTGTGGTGAAGCATTACCCTGAGAGACAATGTGAGTCTCTGTTCATCAAATGAATAAGACAGAACACGACACCTCACAACCTGGCCAACGTAAAAGACTTTATCAGCAAACTCAATCCATGTTTCACTCAGTTCTCTTGCAGGAACCCAACCCTGTAATAAAACAAATATTTACACAATCTAGCAGTCTAAGAGGGTTTTTAAAGTAGGAATAAAACATAGAATCTGTCAAGAAGAAGGACCTATGTAATGTATAAAACATAATTAAAGGTTCAAATGATAACCTACAATATCCACTGTTCTCTAAAGAAAACATGAAACTTCCTCCTATGTAGCAATGAATAAAAACTAAAAGGGGTCAAAATCTAGGTGGCTGCCAAGACAACCAAGCTCTCAATTTCAGAGGTCGACTGTTTTTTTTACAAAAACCCAGATGTGGTGCAGGTTGTATACTACATCATCTTGAGAATTAAATGTACCTCATACATTGACAATTGTTGTTTGTTTTTTATGTACCTCACATTTTTTTTATATATGTGCAAAATAAAAATTAATAAATAAATTCTTGTTTTTTAAGTCCTTTGTTCTTTATACATGGGCACAGCTATGATTGCAATAATATTCTGAAAACAATATGTTCATAGTTTTAAACTGTTTGAAAATATTTAATGTATGAGTTGTTCTTACATCATTGGTAAGTCAGGTAAAATTCAAAACATAGGAAAACAAACAATTATTGTCAGTTATGTATTATTATATGAAAATACCATTTTTATTGTCATTAAAATGTCATTATCCAATTATACAACTCAAATGTGGCTTCACCTGTTACATAATTAATTTAACAACAATAATCATTATGTTAAATGTTGTTTCTACTACTTATAAACATCTACACATGTTCTTTTAACACAGGTATTGTCCTACTGATTGCATTAACCTTGACTTTAACCTCCAAAGATTATATAGTTCAATCTAATTAAAGTATTTTCACTGTAACCTCTGAAGATTTACTTCTAACTAATTACATTAACTTTTACTGTAACCTCTACAGTTATATATTTCTACCTAATTACTGTAACCTTTACAGTAACCTCCACAGGTTATATATTTCTACCTAATTACTTTAACCTTTACAGTAACCTCCACAGGTTATATATTTCTACCTAATTACTTTAACCTTCACTGTAAACTCCAAAAGTTATATACTGTATTGGCCTGATTATAAGGCAATGTTTTTTGCTTACTAATTAGGCTGTAAAATTCATAGTCACTTTATAATCGCAGCCAACCACAGCCCCTTTCCCCTTAATCTAGCCTGTCGCATTCCTGAATGCATCTGTCTATGCATGCGCACCAGATGTTCTCTCAAGGTCATTGCTAATTCTTGCAACTAATCCACCTGCAGGTTGTTCAGTTATAGTACTGATTTTGCAGACGTAAAAGGACGTTATGACACTCAATTTATTTTTCTTTCCCATGGTTTCTGAAAATGGGGGTTGCCTTATAATTCGAGATCGCCCTATAATCAGGCCAATACAGCATATCCATCAACTTTACTGTAACATCCAAAAGTTTATATATTTCTAACTTATTGCATCAATCTTTATTGTAATCTCCAAAGGTTATTTATCTCTACCTTATTACATCAACCTTTACTGTAATATCCAAAAGTTGAAATATTTCTCACTAATATCTTTTTCAATGTGTATATATTGAAATATATAGTTATATGCCAAAATTTTGTATCTGATACACTTGCTATGATTTCACTAACAAGTAACTCTATATTCCTATATTGATTTTTAAGTAAAGAAAATGTGAATATCATCATTTATGTATCACATAAATCTTAAAACTTATCTACTTTACTGTGTTTGTAAGTTTCACAAGTAATAACTGATCTTTTAAAAACAACATTTTGGTGGAACGTCCTAAAAATTTTAAACATCCTCTGAAAATTGAATGCTGATTTTAACTATTCTTTTTTTAACAGTTTCCTATCTTTATAACCAAAACATTTCATCACTTTTAATTTCTTTATTATCACTAACTAACCTTGATATCATTGTAGAAACTAACAAGAAGCCCCTTTTCAGTTGCCAAAACCACAGTCCCCTCAACAATCAAGTCTGGGTACGCATCCTCATATTTAGAAAGTATGGGAAGTTTGGTTGATATCAGGGCCTTCTTACAAGTGAGCCACAGCCTTGGTGAATATCCAGTTGTATCAGCACATAGTACCTAATAGACAGAAATAACCTTAATAGTAACAACAGTGAAAGTTTTTGCACAAATTTATGTATATATTGTACTTTATGAAAATGACACCTTATTACCATTAAACTGAATTTCAGTGTATCTGTCAAAAAAAGTTTGAGTAACTTTTCCAAATCAATGGTAAAAATATTCTAGTTAATTTAAAGCTTCATGCCAAGAAAATGTCTATTTGTTTAAGAAATGTATCTGTTCTATGATGAAACACCAGGGTTATTATGTGTGTAAGTAACATATTTTTAATGTTGTTATTTATTTGTTAGCTAGAGAGAGCTGCAGGTTTTTGACAGTGTAATGGGGCATTAATTTTACATTAGTCCTAGAAACCTCTAGGACAAATTTAGATTCCAAAAAAAATCGTTCATGAAGCTTCTAATGAGAATTTAGTTGAAAGTTAGTTGAGATAAAAAGAGTTACTGTGCTACTTTATACAAGTGGATTCATTGTATGTTAGTCCTAGTACTGTTGTTAAAAAAAAAGAGATATCATTTGTAAACAGAAAACAAATAAATTACAACAGTTTAAAAGAGGTTTCAGCCTAAAGTAGCCTTTAACACTTTCAATACGAGCTCAGCCAATTTGACCAACCACGTAACCTTTTTGTACTTGTTTAAAGTCTTTATAGATTTAATACTTATAACTCTCAATATAGTGGGTATATCTTCATGAAATTTGGCAGTCTTTCAGGTACTATTACAAGTCTTTCATAAACAAAAACTCGTATTTCTTAGTGAATTATTTTTTAAAAAAATAACAAAGATTTGTCCCTGAATATATTGAGTATTTGTTTTGATTAGTCCATATGCAAAGTAATTAGTTTTCCTCATCTCAAAATATCAAATTTCCTTTGCGTAATCCCTAAAATCTCCTAAATGCATTTCACACGTTTTTTTTCTGTAAAACTTTATAGTTTGTCTGTTATTTTCTCTACCCTGTCTCAAAATGGGATTGGTCAATTCAACCAACCTCGTAAATCACACAAAAAAAATAATCGAAATTATCCTAAATTAACCTTTTTATCTTTCTAGAATGACTTCAAATTGTAACATGAAACTACATTCGTTTATACTAAGTACCTCTAAGTTCGTAACATTATACATCAATTTATAATTAAATTTTATTATTTTATTGCCCTTTAAACCATGTCTAACTACTATCCGGACCATTATAAGTTGTAAATTACTTGAGGAACATGCAGTTCACATTTCACTATTGAATTACATAACCCACAAGCTACTCACGTGCATGCCTCATGAACCATTTTAATTATATTATTATTATTACTTATTTTACCTAATCTAGTCTTAAATAACTTAAAAAGATCCAGTTTTTTTTTAGGTACTTTTACAATAATAAATAAATAAGAAATAAAGAAAACAAGAAATAAAGTACTTACCAAATCTTCTATTTTCTTGCTGTTAGGTTTCAAAGAGAGTTAACCCTAATTTTTTATAC